TATGGTACCCACACTGATGTGCCATGTCCTGAAGTGGTCTCTGAGGAGACCACAAGCCTGGAATCCCAGCACTCGGAGGTGGAGACCGAGGCAAACAGCAGGAGGATCACTGTGAGTTTGAGGCCAGCCTGGTCTACAACACAAGTCCAGGACAGCCAAGGCTACACAGAGAAACCCAGTCTCGAAAAACAAAACAAAAACTAACTAACTAAAACAACAACAAAATGAGTCTGCAGGACGCAATGAGGCAAAGTGTCGAGCCAACATAAAGCCAGGGGGTTGATGTTGGTTGTGTTCAAGGCCTAGGGCCAAAACTTTCGTTCACACTCAAGCATTGTAAGCCGCCTCCCATCATCTGAAAAGGCAGAAAATTAGTCTCTGGGATGCAAGGCCTCCAGCCTCTTTTGTGGATTCTTTATCGACACAAATCACCTGCTGCAACCCGAGGGTCACCTCACTTCTAAGCATAAAAAAAGCCCCGGGTTCCAGTCACTCGGACACACGCTATTCCTGCTCGGTGAAATCCTATTCATCCTGCACACAGTTGGAGGCTCTTCTCGGCAGTCTTCCCAAGCCGCCAGCGGGGCTGACTGCTCCCTTTGGGTCTATCCCCTCCTCTGTGTTCAATTACACTGCGCCTGAGGGCTCTACACAGAGGATGAGTGGCCCCATTCTGCAGATGGGAAAAGCTAATCCCCTTCAGGCGGGCTGAAGAGCCCAGGAAACAAACTACCAGCTCTCCCCGAGGCAGACTTGGGGGAAGTTCATCCCGTTCCCCAGAAACCCCAGGATGTGCCAACTCCTGCCAGGGAGAAGAAAGCCTAGGACCGGGAAGGCTTGGGTTGGGTGAACGAGCTGTGGACTCGCAGAGGGGAGGAGCAGAGGACTGACAGCGCTTCTGCTCTTCGTTAGTCCTGACTAGCCAGGCTGGGGTGGGGGCCACCGATTTGCCCACCCACGCAGAGAGATGCTAAGGACTACCCCTCCCCGAAGCCCACTCGCCGGTTCTTCCTTACCAGGGAAAGACAGCCATCTTCCCAGTCACATGATCTTTTGCTCTGGGCGGCCAGCCCCTTCTCTCAGAGCCGGAGGCGCTCGGCCCCGCCCTGGCCGCCATGATTGTGAAGGGCGGCTTCCGCTCTGAAGCTCCTGGGCTCCCGTCGTCCGCCATGATTGTGAGGGGCAACTTCCTCCGGGTCCCGGTTCTCCAGTGGCCCCTCCAAACCTAAGCTCCGTCATCCGCCCCGGGCGATTTCTTTTGTTTTTGTTGATAGGGATTCTTTTGCCTCTGCCTCCGGAATGATGAGATCAAAGGCCTGCCTCACCACGCCTGGCTTAAGTCACATTTATGTGTGTGTAGATGGGCCGCGGTGCACGTAGAGCTCAGAGAATAACGGACTCGGGCATCGGGCTTGGCACTAGATGCCAGTACCTTCCGAGCTATCCCAGGATGGTCAGAGGCAGAACTCCGCTGGCTGCTTGGTCCGCCTGCGCCCTCTAGTGACGGGTGCGAGTGCACACACTCCATCCCTGCTGAGGCCAGACAGACTGCAAGGGATTCTGAAGCGAATTCGCTGTCGGTGCTGGGTTCTCTCCGTGCTTCGTAGGGGTGAGCATTTGGGGTATTTTTTCCCCAGGACTGACAACGTTAAATCCGAATATGACCACAACTTTTGGCGCTCCCGCTCTGTGTACAATATTATAACGTAACTATACTCAACGCACTTTGCACACGCCCTTCTCAATAGAAACATCTGAAATAGCTATCATTAATCACTTGGTTTTGGAAAAGTGGAGCCCAAAGCTCATGAGTGTCTGAGTTTGAGTTTCAAACTCTACCTCAAATAAGAATGGGATTAAGACTGGGAAATACCAGACAGCAGCGCCTCCTCATGCCTTCCCCGTCCTACTTCCAAATGTACCTTTGCTGACGGAAAGAGGCCTGAACACTATCTTCTTCCACGTTCTGGAAAAGGCGATTGGGAATACTTCAACTAGGACTGAGTTTTGTACAGTACCACAGTTTTTTCCCTGTGAAATTGAGGTAACCGTTAAAGGAGATTATCATAAAATCCACAGCTCAGGGTGTGGTGGTTTGTATAAGTATGCGTCCCACATAGTCACGTGATGCTTGACCCACAGATAGCTGCACTGTTAGGAGGTGTAGCCTTGTTGGAGGAAGTGCGTCGTTGGGGAGGGGTGTTGAGGTCTCATATATGCTCCGCCTAGTGTGGCATACAATTTCCTGCTGCCTGTGGCTCAAGATGTAGAACTCACAGCTCCTTCAGCACCATGTCTGCCTGCATGCTGCCATGCTTCCCGCCATGATAATGGACTAAACCTCTGAAACTGTTAAATGTTCTCCTTTATAAGGATTGCAGTCATGGTGTCTCTGCACAGCCAGAGAACTCTATCTAAGACATGGAGTCAGCTCTCAGAAGCTGTGGTTAATGAGACAGGCAAAAGTTGGGCTGTCCTTTGGTCTGGGCTTTCAGAGCTTGTAACAGAGCAGAGCATCTATTTCAAATAGACACACCACTCTTGCCTGGGGACTACAAAATGATGCCTCTGGTAACGTTGGCAGTTCTAGGGGACACTGCTGCTGGTGGTTCCTTTGCAAGAACAGTAGCAGTGCGGGGTGGTGAGACACAAAAGATAGGGCAGTGGTACCAACTGTCCTGAGTACATTCAGGCAGACCCAGCCCATCCTGTGTATGACAGCCGAGGGGGAACAGTCATTAAACAGGTTAAGTTTCTGGAAAGGCTGATAATGAGGGGTTCTTACCATGGTCTAAGAAGCAAGAGCATGATTTTGTGGCATCTTTGTCAGTGTCCTCAAGGAACGGGGAAACTGGGCTGGAGAAATGCCTCATCTGATAAGAGCACTCTCTGTTCTTTTAGAAAACCCAGGTTTGATTCTCAGCACCCACGTGGTAGCTCACAACCCTCTGTAACTCCTCTGTAAGTCCCAGGGGATCTGATGCCCCCTTCTGGCCTGCATGGGCACTAGATACATGTGGTATAAAGACATGCACACAGGCAAAAAGCTCATACAGCAAATAAATGAGCCTAAAAAAAATTTTTTTTAAAGAAACTGGAAAATTGAGGGCCATGGAGAAACACTGAGCAAAGAAAGCAGAGTTTTAAATGGTAGCATTTTATTAGTTTGTGTGCATTGTTGAAACAGGTCTCACTCTACAGCCCTGACTGGCCTTGATGTCAGTGGTCTTCTGCCAGAGGCCAGAGGTCAACATTTGGTATTTTCTTCCCTCTCTCCCTTCTCTTCCCCTCCCCGCTCCATCACACACACACACACAGCTTGAATTTGAAGCTGAGTGACTGACTGGCTGGCCAGCAAGCCTGTCAACTAACCCCCAACCCCAACATAAACACACAGGTGCTAGAGTCGCAGGTACATGCCCCGCCTGCCATTTTTACACAGGTACTAAGGACCTGGGAGGTCTTCATGCTTACACAGCAAACACTTTGCCTACTTAGAGAGCTCCAGATACTAAATTTTATTTATGGAGTGTTTTTCCTGCCTGTGTGTCACTGCATTGTATGTACCTAGTACCTGTGGAAGCCAGAAGAGGATATTGGATCCCTGGGGATGGAATTTGACAATTGTGGAGCTACCATGTCGGTGCTGGAAGTCAAAGCAGGTCCCCTTGAAGAAGACCAATGCTCTTAATTGTTGCACCATCTCATCTCTCCAGTCCAAAGCTTATTTTCAACCGATACATGACAGGCCTGACACAATTCCTACTCTTCGGGATGTTGTTACAGTTATCAAAGAAGATGCCGCCTACATTCTGTCCCAAGGTCTTTGGTTTTCAAGTTTTTAGAGCCTGATGTTACCTAGGGTTGTGCTGGCTGGTCTTCTGCCAACTGACACAGCTGGAGGCATCTGAAAGGAGGGAGCCTCAACAGAGAAGATGCCTCCATAAGATCAGTCTGTAGGGCATTTTCTTTTCTTTCTCTTTCATTGTTTTTTTGGTTTGAGACAGGGTTTCCCTGTGTAACAGAACCTTGACTGTCCTGGACTCGATTTGTAGACCAGTCAGCCTTGAATTCATATCACTACACCTGTCTCTGCCTCCCAACTGCTGGGACTAAAGGCATGTGTGCCACCATGCCCAGCCCATAGGCGTTTTCTTAATTAGTAACTGATGGAGAGGGTCCAGCTCATCGTGGGTGGGTCTATACCCCTGGGCTGGTGATCCTGGGTTCTTTAAGAAAGCAGGTTGATCAAGCCATTGGGAGGCAAGGCACTCCTCCATGGTCTCTGCATCAGCTCCTGATCAGGTTCCTGTCCTGAATTCCCTGGATGAGGTACAATGACATGGAAGTGTAAGCAGAATACACACTTTCCTCCCCAACTTGCTTTTTGGTTTTCTAACTATAACAGTAGCCAAGCACTCTCCCTAGAGCAGCAGCCCTACTTATTTTTAGAACTGTTGCTTTTCATGGGGAGTTGAGCACAGACTGGAGGTTGTTCATGGAACAGTGATCTCTGATGGAAACAGCCCTTCATTCTTAAAATTGAATACATTGCAGAATCAGTGATTTCCAGTCACTTCCAGCACTGCTGACACAGGAAAATGAGCTAGAATGATCAGAGGTGTGTGAGCATTGAACCCTGCAGATGACCAAGTAACAACATCTCAGCAAGAGGAGACAACTAGCTATGAAGATCTAATATTGGGAGGATAGTGCTCCCAATGTGAAAGGCAAAGGCGTCATTGGGAGTCCACCTAAGCATTCCCTCCCTCTTCCGTCCCTCCACTGCTCTTGGCAGATGTCTAGCTCCTAAGAAGCAAAGACATTATTCAACTGTGGCAGCAGGACAGGCTACTTGTTAATTGGGCATGCCTCCCATGGGACTTAAGCTGGAAAACACCATCATCTTAGATGCTGTTTTGGCCACAAGTTCTTCAGTCCCCAATGGTTAAAGATCAGTTCCCTTGGTTAAAAATAAAAAGATCTGATGAGATTTCCTTTAGGATGAAAGGTTTATTTAGCTTTTTACCTAGAAGCAAAACTAGTGAAAATCAAAGTATAAAAATAAATAAGTCACATTAACACACATTCCAGTAAAGTAAAAACAACAATAAAAAATAAAGCATATAAATAAAACTTCTTCAAAAGCACAAAACAGTGTCTGGCACTTTTCTGAAGAGAAAACTGAACATTCAAATGGAAAACACACAAACTTTTACCTTGAAATTAAAAACACACTCCAGTTTCTCAGCCTTAATCTAAAAGTAGTTGTAACTTTCCAAAACACAGTTTACTTTAGCTAATTCATATTAATATACACAAACTTTAAGCTCCTCTTCCTTACTGAAGAGCCCACAATGATACAAGCAAGTGGTGTCCTGAGTGTTTGGGTATTTGAAAGGTAATACCATGGTATACCTTTCATACAAGTAAAAAAAATGTGTAACCTGGACTTTTTTGACTGTCTTCTTTTTTTAATTCAATAAATGGTAAGTCTGAATAAAGAAAATCAAGTTTATACCCAGAGAGGGTTATTATTTTGCAACTGCGGCTGGGTATAAAAGTCATATCTCAGAAGATCAGAAAAACAATCTCCCCATATTCTTAAAAAGGTGATTAAGAATATATAGGCTGCATCTTCAAAATACTACTGTCTTTAAAATTCAAGTTATAAGGATCAAATATACACAACCCCAATGTTAAATGAGAACCCACAAAGCCCTTTTTGGAATTACATAAGTGACATTCTCTTTCATAAAATCATGTTTTGTTGGTACATTGTTGGTTGATGCATTTAATGAATATGTTAGTCATGAAAGCCATAAATCTCAGTACCTATACTGCAGATTTTAAACTAGACAGTATTTCTATGCTATCTGAAATCCATATTTATTAAATAGCCCTTTATTCTCTCCTAATTAAAGCATGCTAAAAAAGACAACTATGAGGAAATAAACTATACAGACTAAATAGAATTAGCTGCATGCGCTCTGGTGCCCCCCCCATTTTCACAGTGCATTCCCAGGTGCTATATTCATAGAAATTGTGCTGTCTTCTCTAAACTTGCCACCTTCCAAGAAAGTGCTTGTAATCTGGTCTTCCTATACCTAATAGTAACATACATAAAACCTAACATTTCTGTAAAACAACCAATTGTCCACAGGAACTTGGTCTTCTACCCAAAACTAGGACTCCCAGTCACTAATTATTTGGGATATAGCAAGGCAAGTGTTTCATCCTATATAACTATACTGCAAGTCAAAAGGGTATGGAATTTCTGAGTGTTTAAAATTAGAAAACATATTTCTGCAATAATTTCCTTTTGAACAGAACAGTTTCTAATTGTTTATCAAATTCAGCAATCAGTATATAGTCATGAATGAAATTTAGGTTTTAGGGCTAATTTACAATTGGTGATATCTTTTCAATACTTTGTAAAAATAGGTCCAAATATTTTTTTATGTTTATAAAAAAGGGTGATTGTAGACCTCTGGGCACATATAGTATATTTATACAGGAAAAGCTCAGAGACGAGGCAATTACTAAATGCTAATCATTTTCACCCAAACTAACATTAGTAGGAAAATGAGGCAGGACTTTTCCAAACTAACACACAAATGCTCAGCCCTTGCTGTCCCTTTGCCTGCATACACAGTCCAGGGCGAAGTGAGAAGCCCTGGCCAGGAAATGGAATGTGGGTTAACAGGACACCCTCCTTCCCTGCTTCATCCCAGCGAATGCTGTCTTCTTAAATTGTCGCAACATTTGGCCGCTTTCTTTGGATTTTTCCTGCATATGCTCCTAAAAATAGAGCAAAAATTATTATTATTTTTCAAGTGTAGAAATTTTATGTGATATTATTTAGTAAATTGCCAGGCATTGGGCTAAGCAATATATGTTGTTAACCTTAATCCTGAGGTAGAAACTGTCACTCTCATTTTAAGGACAATAAACGCAAAGCATTGACCATCAGCTGCCTCAGCTAACATAGCTAGAATTGGAAACTCTGAGAACTCAGCTGACCTCATCTTTGTTTCCTGTTTTGTTTTGCCAGTGCCTACTCTACTTTGGTCAGTAGTTACCAGATCCACTGCACAGTCGCTCTCATACACAGGGCCAACGAAGAAATATACTTCAAGCATAGGCCCAGAGACTGAAATTTAACGTGTAGAAAAATTCCAAATGCTGGGCATTCGTGTACACTTGCAAATTAAATCTCAGCCTAAAAGAATGATATCCAACCATAACAAAAACAAGTGTTTGGAGCTGGGTGTGGTAGCTGTGATCATTGGTGGGGAAGATCATAAGCTCAAAGCCATCTTGGGCTATACGTAAAGTGAGACTCTTACTCATACAAAAACAAACAAAGGTTTTTATAAACTTAAAGCTCATGTAGACCAAATCAAAGCATAGTTTCATATTTATTTAAAACATAATCCAAGACATTAGAAATCTTCTGGGGTAAAGCAATTCTTTTAAGAGCAACAATGAGCTCATAATTAGCACTTTAGTAGCATTTTAGTTAGCATGTCGAATTCTCTGTTTATGTATAATTTACAAAGAAAGAATTGAGAATTCTGTACTTTCATTGTCTATACATTCATACATTAATAAAATTTTAGAAAAACACATTTTTGCTTCTTTAAAACATAAAGAATGTACACGTTGATTATATTTATATTACTAACTGTGCTGCAATTAAACTTCAATAGCTACATTCCTTGCACATTATTAACTACGGCGACTGCTTGCTCATCCCTTGTGGTGTCAACTACTCAGCAGAAAGAGCACTTGCTTCTTTGCTTATAGACTCACAAGTGACAAATCATGGAGATGAAATGCATGAGAAAAAAAAAAAAAACACGGAGGGGAGTCAGAGTGGCAAGCTGATGCTACTGGGCAAAACAACACTCTGCAATGATTTTCCAGCCACCTGAGTTAGCACAATCGCTAACACTAACCTGAGAACAATGGAAACCATCCTAACACTTCACATAACGTCACAGCCACAGAGCTGCTGTTTGGTCCGCGTTCTTGCAAAGCTGACTGACTGGGTCTCTAAAAGTGGGTTCTCCAACCAGGTAACCTTCAAACAACTCCAATAACTGTCACCCGGTGATTTCAAAGGCATATCTTATTAAGCATGCTAGATATCTGTGACATTATGAATTATGTTCACAGCATTCGTGCAAAAAGTCTGCAATCATCTTATATTTCCTGACAGCTCGTTCCCTCTTGGAATCTATGTGAACAACTGCTGATAATAAGAAAGACTGAAGTAGCAAAATCACTTGCTGTAATATTGATTCTTCTCATCTGACATGGAGGAAAGCAATCACTGATATAGCTGTAAACATTGCCTAAGTGTTTATTAGTGGGGAGATTAGAATCAAGTCAGCTTTTCTCTATTGTTTGGGAATTAATACGGCAATCTGTGAGCATCAAAAAGCAGCAGTGAAAGCATAGCATTCTAAAATGTCTTTAATGGGCTGCGTAATCCAGTGAGCATAATCAAAATGTCTTAACCACAACACCAACAAATATTAAGAGTTTTGGATTAGCTCAAGACTGAATCTGTCTTTCTTGCCACCATAAATTGAATTTTAAAACAGGTTTCAGTTTTACCCTTGAATAATGCTCAAATGATGAGTAAAAGGAGATTCGGCTCAGGTTTCTTACAAAGGGAGGCTTGGGCTCCCTCCCATACACCAGGCACAGTCACTGTGGGTCCTGTGTCATGCAGACTCAGAACCCTGCCTGACACAATGCCATGGGGCTGAACACACTCATATGAGAGATCATTTCTCCTCATCTATAAAAGTTTTGAGTAAGCCTGGATAATTCTACAAAACTTTCCAAATTAAAAACGGTCTTTTCATTAAGACACGTAGTCTAACTCGGAGGATTTCCTGGCTGCCACAAAATACAAAGACAAAGGTCCCCAACAGCAATGTCTATGAATATGCCGACACTATGGTGGCAAGGAAGACTGCATGTCCCACTGTGAAGCCTGAGTCACGGGCAGACTGCGCATGTCCCTTGTTGAACGGGCTCCAGAAATCATTGCTACACACCTGATACAGGCGCTCGGTTAGGCCCTCTGCTCTGTGAAGGCTTCTGTCTATTTTGCACAACCCCCTTCACTGATGTCTTAGGGGTTCTAATTGAATATAAAAAGGTTAATAAGTCACTCGCATGAAAGTCTGAACTTCAGAGAAAACAACCACACAGTCCCGACTACTCGAAGCATAAGGAGGCTTGAGAAGCACTGAAACCCACGCACACACGCAGCGATCAGGAGAGCTGCGCTTGTCTCAGCAAGAGACCAGACTCCTGCTGCACCCTTGGTTGGAGAATCATTGGGTGAGGCTAAAGTCACTCGACAGATAAGCTTACATTAAAACACATGAGCAAAATGGTATGAAATGAGAAGTAAAAGCATGCCAACATCAGATGGTAGCTAAGAGGCACCACGCAGTGTGGCCAGAGGGCTGTCTGCACAGTCAAGCGTGATGCTACACAGCACAACACACACAGTAGATCTTGCGCTGAGGAGAACAGTATCATTATTTCTCTGGCTCAAAACTGATCTTGGCTTGAATGTTTTCAAATCCCCATGTGTGTGGCATTCTTACCCTTGTCTACTAAGTAGCCTATGAACAGGTGCATTCTGTCCTTGGTTTGGCTGAAGGACTCTGTTGACAAATTAAATGCAAAATTAATTCCAAAAGACAAATTCCATTTTTCCCACTTTCTTTCAATGGGTGAAAGGTGACAACAGTGAGGTTAGAAGCCATCTATGCTGTCACAGGGCAAAGCAAACTGACCAAAGCAAATCAGTAAGGGACTTAAATTTTGCTCACCATGAGCACAGACCTCAGGTTTTTCTCAGGAGAGCAATGTCCAACACATGCAATCCCTGTGCTTTTACAGAATTTACTGATATGTTTTACCAACGCCAACTTCCCAAACACGAAACAAAACACTCATTTCACAAGTGGGGAGAATAAGTTCTATGTGCTAAGTCCACATCCTAAGGTTTTTAAACAAGTATCAAAGATTCCGTTAGTCTGAAGTTTCTGCCAGAAATGGCCTATCCTACAAACAGTGCAGGAACCTTTGACCTGTCCCACATGTGGCCAGGAATAGGACCAGACATTAATATTAGCCTGAGCCTCAGTTCCTCCAGTCAGGAATGGTGTCCTACTGATAAAAGGCAAAGTTGTTGTTTTTTTAAGCAAGCTTTGCAAGGCATGGTGAGTTTGAGGCCAGCCTGGTTTACAAAGAGTCCAGGAAAGCCGAGGCTACACAAAGAAACCCTGTCTCAAAAAACAAAACAAAAGAAACAAACAAAAGCAAGTTTGGGGCATAAAATTAAAAAAAAAAAAAAGCCTCTCACTGAGATGAAGCGATTTTTCTCACCTTGTTTCTGAAGGGTTTTGCTTAAGTAGGAACTTCTTATTTGGCATTCCCATTTCAGCAACTCTGGCACGATATAAAGATAAAGACATAAAGTTTGAGAAGGAAGGACACAGGCTTACCAATAACAGGTGGGCAGGTGGGCACTGAGAAGTAAGGGTCCTGCTAAAAGCCTGTGCTGATGAGCATATTAAAAACTAGCATCAAGAAAGTTTTTAGGAGCTAGAGCTAGCGCAGACGTTAAGAGCACTGGCTGCTCTTCCACAGGACTGGGTTAGATTCCCAGCATCCACATGGCAAATAACAACTGTCTGTAACTCCAGTTCCAAGGGATCTTGTACCTTCTTTTGGCTTCCCTGGACACCAAGTAAACACGGTGAACAAACCTACATGCCAGCAAAACACTCATACATATCAAACAAACAAACAAAAAATTAAGTTTTTAAATAATAATTACTAGAATATATACTTCCTCTTGAGCGTTTGCCCCAGGATATGTTTCAGATATTGGGGGAAATATACGTAAATGGTTAAATAATTAAAGAGTAAATATAAGCACTAACTATTGAGACTGTCTGACTGCCATACAAGCTGATTGTTAATAAAATAATTTATCAAACGACAAATCAGCTTTTTACCACTAATTTTAATAAATCTCTATATTGAAATGGGACTTTCTACCCAGCATGGTAGTAGATACCTTTAATCCCAAGGTAGATTACATCATATGTTCCAAGCCAGCCAAGGCTGCATAGTAAGATCCTATCTTAAAAAAAAAAAAAAGGAAAAAGAGAGAGGGGCTGGAAAGATGGGAAAGATGGTTCAGAGGTTAAGAGCAGTGGCTGTTCTTCCAAAGGTCCTGAGTTCTATTCCCAGTCAACCACATGGTGGCTCACAACCATCTATAATGAGATCTGGTGCGCTCTTCTGGCCTGCAGGCACACATGCAGACAGAATACTGAATAAATAATAAACAAATAAATCTTTAAAAAAAGAGAGAGAGATGGATAAAGAGGTATTTCTATCAGCTCAACTGCAGAAAAGCAAATTGTAATTTCTTCTTAAGTGCCATTATTTTCTTACTTTATGCATGTGAGAACGTTGCCTGAACACCATTAAGTGTAGATGTGCATGCAGTACCTGTGGAGACCAGAAGAGGACAGCATATCCCTGGGGACAGAGTTTGAGGATTCTGAGCAACCAAGTGGATGCTGGGACAAACCCTGCAAAAGCAGCCAGTGCTCTCACCCACTGAGCCATCACTCCAGCCCCTTTTTATTTCTTACTGGAACATAAACATACCAGCTGCTAACAAAAATTAACTGTTGATAATAAAGCGACAAACTGAACTTACTTCATGAACTTCTTCCTGTCGAGAGACTTCTGTGTTGCCACTGAAAGCGCGACTCGTGGACTTTTCATTTTGTCCTTCAAGTACAAAGGAACACGAGGCTGAGTAGTAACAACAGCACTGTGCTAACATATAAGATGATCTACCACCCCTTAGTCCCAACTCTCAGGATACAGAGGCAGGCGGATATCTGAGTTCAAATCCAGCTTGGTCTACAGAGCAAGTTCCAGAACAGCAGGGCTACATGGAGAAACCCTGTCTTGAAAAACAAAACAAAAGACAATCCCAAGTCATGCACCTTTTGTGTGTGTGTGTGTGGTGGTTTCAGACAGTCTCTCTATTTAGCCCTCGCTGCCCCGAAGCTCACTATGTCAAAGAGTCTGGCCTCGAACTCTGCTTCCTGATTGTTCCACCACAGCCAGCCACTTAGCTAATGTCTTTAAGAGTTAACTTGGAATCAGTTTTCAGATTTAAAAAATGACAAAATCTATATGAAAGCAATAAGAACACTTAATAAAGAGCAGCTGATGGTGTCCTATGAGCAACCAGAACAAAACATTCCAGGTTTCAGCCCTCAAATCTAATCCCAATGCAGAACAGAATTCTTTCACTGAGTGGTTCCTGAGGAGCTCACTACACAGCTCAGTGACTGGGACTCCTGAGGTCATCTGGCTTCAGAACTGTTGGCGACGACATGGAAGTTCCGTCACCCACGCTCAGAAAAGCCTCTCGTCACAAAGCTGCATGTCATACATACCATTTGCCGGAGAAGTTTCTCTTTGCGGGCTTCTCGATCATGATGAAGGATTGACATTCTCTCAGCTGCATCCATGACGAAAAAGATGTCATGAATACCATACAGGGCAGCTCGCAACTAGTTGTAAAAGAAGGAAATCGTGTCTACACTCAAAAGATGAGGCTAGAATTTAATACAAATATATACCATGTGCACTTCTTTCATTTGTAATGAGAGGGTACAAGAATTTTCATTTAAACCTATTTTCCCTGTTTAAATGAACAGAGAAGTACATTTCCGGCCCTGGGCCTCCAGTTAGAAACTGACCAGTTTCCCGGGAGCCCATCAGAGCAGCAGCATGTACCTGAGCTAGCACGCGCTCCTGAAGTGAAGCATCTTGGGCTGAGACAACGCCTCTCTTCAGCGGGGCTTCTGACTGAAAGCTTTGTATGAATTCCATAGTGTCCTGAAAGAAAGAGATGCTCCTTCAACAGCAGTTTTTAAGGAAGTTTCCTTTTATTTTCTTTCTCCATCAAAATTTACTAAGAACACAAAACTACTACTGATGACACATCAAGCAGCCACAGCCCCCTGACCCTGTTTCCCTGCCTCCTCCTGCTCAGAGTGGCAGAAGCTTTGCTCTTCTGGCAGGTTTCTGCATCCTCTCCAGGAGAGAAAGCCACCTGACTTGGTCAAGTAGTTCTGGATTAACCGTCACTTGCACAGCCATCACTAACTTTGTGGTGTTCGGGGACCTTAACAGGCCTATCTGTGAGAGCATTTGTATGTTATGGTGAATGCCAAATCTGAAGTATCTAAAAAACTGATGCTGGTGAAAAGGCAGGCAATGACCGTGACCATATTGCTGATTTTAGAATTGTACCTAGTGATAAATCAGGCAATGCTCACTGCACTGTCCAGATGCTGAGGATAAAGAGAGCCAATGGGAGGAGTATGAAAAGGAAGCACACAAACATGGGCACAGCTGGGGCCAGCCCTACAGCTGTCACCTACAGGGGACTTCCCCATTTATCAAAAAGCCAAGCCACACCACAGAGCAGAGGAATGTTACCTCAGCTGTGGGCAGCCAGCACAGCACAGCCAGGGTTGAACAGAAGGCTCACTATGTGATTCTGGGGTGTGATGGGGCAGATAAATGGCAATTGCTGGGCAGTATGCCAGGGATGGGAGAGACGGCCTATCCTGCTTTAAGGCTGCTCAAGCTGGAAATGGTGAGCAGGTCTGTGAGCCAACACGTGAGAGGCTGAAGCAGGACTGCCATGAGTTTAAGAGCAGCTTGAGCTAGACCTTATCTCCAAAAATAAATACTTTGTGAAAGAGAAATCACAGCCATCACTAACTTTCATGTGGTATTCAGGGACCTTAACAGGCTTTGCCCACTTAGGAGTGAATGATTAAAGTCTTCTCTTTCTTTCACTTCTTTCCTTTCTTTTTTTTTTTCCTTTCTTCGTTTTTGTTTTTCAAGACAGGGCTTCTTTGTGTAGCCCTGGCAGTCCTCGACTCACTCTGTAGACCAGGCTGGCCTCAAACACACAGAGATCCGCCTGCCTCTGCCACAGTGCTGGGTTTAAAGGTGTGTGCCACTACCTCCTGGCTTAACATCCTTTTTTAAAAACTCATTCATACCAGTTTCTTCTTGAGAGGCATCAAATTGTCACCAGCAGAAGAAACGGTAACCCTTATTCACAAAGGTGACATAACACAAGGTATCTGTAGTTTATCACATAAAAAGCTTTCTGTCTCCAGGTCCCCTTGGAGCAGGCCTGCCAGCCTTCCCTTCGCTGTGTAGGTGTTCCATGAGCCAGAGGCTGGTGTGTGAACTGCACAGGAGCAGAGGTGGAGGGACTGGATGGAAATGAGACAGGGAAGAGCTAAGAAATGTCTACCAAGGGCCCAAGGATACCCTCAGCCCTAAAAGGCCCAAGACCTCAGGGGGATCTCCCCACCTCTATTATTCTCCACAGGGACAAGACAGAAGTTTCCTACTAATCCACGGCCCAAATTAATTAACTCAGGCATCCTGTGAGCCTCTTGGCAGACGGCAGCCACATGCTCTGCCACTGGCACAGTTTTCGGACTAACTTTTCGTTCCCTTGTCCAGGTTCAGCCTGCTCTCCTGAAGGGGTGGAGGCTTTCATTTTCCCAACTCTCAGGCTAGTTTTCTGTAACAACAAGTGAAAGTGGGAGAAAGTTCTCAAAGCATCTGAAATGGTGAAAACCGTTTGATCTTTGTGCTAACTTAACACATAAACCTAGAGCTTCTATATTACGATGCTCTTGTTCTTTCTTCAAATAAACATTTATCTTATGTACCTGAGCGTTTTGCCTGCAAGGGCACCACAAGTGTGCAGTGCCCATGATGACCAGGAGAGCGTCAGAACCTGTGGGACGGGAGTTATAGGCAGTTGTGAACCACCACGTAGACACTGTGAACTGAACCCGTCCTCTGGAAGAACAGCCAGTGCTCTTAACTGATAAATTATCTCTCCTGCATCATACTTAAAAAAAAAAAAAAAATGTGTGGTCACTTGGGAGGCAGAGTAACTCTCAGTACCGTCAGGGCTACACAAACATCAAAACACCAGGAAAAAAAAATGGTTTTGGGTGTTTTTGTTTTGTTTTTTTAATTACATTCAAAAAAAGTGTGTTCTTGTAGGCATGAGCCATAGTTCATGTGCAGAAGGCAGAGGACATCTTGGGGGAAGCTGTCCCTCTTTTCCATGTGGGTGCTGGGGATTGAACTCAGGCTGTCAGTCTTGGCGGCAGATACCTGTGCCCACTCAGCCATTTTGAATTTATTAATTATATATACATACATTTCATTATGACACTTTCATACATGCACAAAATTTCTTTAGATTATATTCACAATTATGTCACCTTCTCATGATCCCGCCCCCTTCTACCCCCCCTTCTCCTCAATAGCTCTTCTCCTACCTTCATGCCTCCCCTGCTTTTTGGTGGCCCAATGGGTCTCATTAGGACTGCCACAAGAGCACGAACACCTTACTAGTGGCTGCACCAGGAAGAAAATGTCCCTCCTGCTCCCATTAACCATTAACTGTATAAATCGGCAAAGAGAGGTAAGGCTTCAAAAGGCCCTCCCACCCATGACAGGGTACTGCTGGACCTAATCTTTTGCACATTCTCTGCAAATAGTCACAACTGCAAGCTTGTTATGCCTGGAAATGAGCATTCCACACAACTATTTTGGGGGAGGGGGGGAACCAGTACTCTGGAAAAACCATCAAAGTAATCAGACTTATGAAATCAACTAAATTACAAAAACTAAAAAAGTTGGATCTGAGTGCTGAGCTCAGCTGAACACTGAAATGAAATGAAAAGCAAGGAACTTCAATGATCTTACCTTTACAGTTTGTCGAAGCTGCTTTAGCTTATCTGTTTGCATAAGCTTACGAGTAAGAAATCCTTTTGCCACAGCAGTTATTTTGTTAAATTTTGCTTGTAGTTCTGGACTAAAAACCTAAAAAGAAATGAGATTCAATGCTTTAAAAATCCTAGCAGCACAGCCAATTTTAACCTGTCACCACCAGCTAAAATCCCTTCCTAGACATTTGCTCCTATAATAGTTTCATCTGTACCAAAAGCTAAGCTACTTTGTGAAAGGCAAAAAAATAATCGATCTTCAGTATACAAGCTAAAATAACATAGCTTTATGAGACGCTCGGCGGGTAGAGCCCTAGCCATCAGGCCCCAGGGCCCACATGGTGGACAAAGAGAGCCAACCCACAAGCCACCCTCTGCCCTTGTACTAGGACATGCATGCTCCCCTTAGTAAGTAAAAATGTAAACCAATTGATAGACATAAAGCAAGGTTGCCCACCTGAGACCATTTAGCTTGGGCCCTTCCAAAAGGCCTTGTTACTGAGAGTTTGGTCACGCCACTGGTCAGTGATCCCCAGAGGTAGAACGGTGCTTCACTTGCAGAGGCAAAGCTATATTGTAGGGCAGAATTTGTGACACCTAGAGAAACATACAGTGCAGACCAGTAGAGTGATCTATGGCACCATCCTGGTGCCACATCATCAGAACATGCAAAAGGCTGTAATAGACATTTGTGGCACTCGATGAATAACAGCCGCCTCAGAGACTGACCCAAATGCAGACATAAAATATCCATGGACATTCAGTGACTGTGCCAGAGGGAGCTTTTCAAAACAGACAGAATCTCAGGATAATTGCTGCTGTGAAAGGCTCTTTCTGCTTCTAGGAAACTAGAAGTGATTCCAGATCACTCGGGAGGTAAGCAACTGTTCTCACGTGAGCATGCCACCTGCTGCGTGAAGGAGCAGGCGGGCTCTGGGCCCACCTGCCTGCTCTTTGTTAAAGTCACTCTTCTCACAGACACCTGCTCTGCGGCTCAGATCTGATATCATGTCATTTTTCCTGGCTACTAAGCAGCTGGCAAATAGGGGTGGGATGGGCATTAAATTACTAGAAGGACAGTCTGACTGAAATAGCTTACTGCACAACAACGTTCAAGTGGAAAACAATTCTTAAAAACCTACCACAGCTGTTTGAAGTCTGGAGTGAGTCCACTTGGGATAGCATTGTTTCCAGCAAAGAAGAATCGCTTCTTTTTCTCCACTCCAGCTCCAGCGCACTGTTGAAGTCAGAGGCATCCGCTGTAACTGCCTTCTCTTTCAGCATCTTCTCCTGTTCTTCTATTTCCTGCAAATTGACTATGTATTACAGCATGCCAGATCCTTTACCGACATCTGAAGTAGTGTCATTGTAGGCTTATCCCAAAAGTACATATAAATGAAGGGTACCTTATTGTTAATTTCAAGTTTTCCTCCCTCAAAATTATGACAACTTGTTCAGCTGATTTAAAATGTTAGTTTTCTATTTTTTAGTTGAATTTAAAATGAGATATGACTATAATAATCACAAAACAAGTATCTTTATGATATTGTTCTTGAAAAACATAACATTTAGCATCTATTTTTAAAATACCTTTTCAAATATTAGGAATCCTGAATTAAGGACTCAATAAGGTACCCTTTCACAAATCACTCAGTGGCTTTTGGGTAATGACCTAAACGTCAGACCTCACATTCTGATAACAAAATACTATCCACACATCAAGATCAATGACCACCTAAGAATAAGATGTGCAGAGGAAAACTGCCAGCACACACATATGGCCCAAACCACACACTGTCGATTGCCAGCTGTGCCATCTCATCGCCTCACCTTTTGCAGCCGCTCCTGCTCCCTCTCCTGCTCAGCTATGAGGAGAGATAGCTGCTGAGCATGCTGCACCTCCAGTCTCTTGCGCATTTCTTCAAAAGCCAACATCTTGCTTTTTAGTATCTCCTGGCCTTCTGAAAAGAAACGTGCGCCTTTAAATGGAGAAAGCTCACTGAGAGTCTAGCAGCTCGTGTTTTCTGCCATCAGCTTGCACTGTGCTTCTGACCAAAGGGTGGTCCTCACGTAAGCCGGGCACAGCCTGTTCTCCAGGGTGAGCCCTTCTCACTGGCCGCTCCCCTTCTTTATGCTCCTCAGTAAGAACAGGGCCGCACCTCCTCACCTTCCACTCATTCAACACCTCTCCTGGCCTGAACCACTGCAGCCATGACTGCATGTCCCGCCAAGAGTCTCCAAAGTCTGACTAGCTTTACGATGTGGTCCTTAGGGCTGAAGCCTGCAGAGGTTAAGAATGCTCACTGCTCTACCAGAGGACCCGGATTTGGTTCTCAGTACCCAAATCAGATGCCCACATTTGCATGTAACTCCAATTCTGGGGAATTACATGTACTCTAACCTCCTCAGGCACCGGCATGAATGTGTGGTGCATACACTCATGCAGACAGACACACACAAACAAATCTTATGAGAGATGTGGTTCTCACCACATTCCACCAGTATTTACTCGTCTGTCCTCCCAGACCTCTGTCTTTCTCTCGTGTATGTGGTGCAGAATATACATGTGTTTTCACATGTGTGCGTGTAGAGGCCAGACGTCAGCCATCGGTAGTCTTTAGTTGCTCTCTACCTTGTTTTTTTGAGACAGTCTTTCCCAGAACCTAGAGCTCACCGACTCACCACACTAGCTGCCCAGTGCCTGGGGGACCTTCCCGTGTCCGCCTCCCTAGCACCAGGATTACATGTGTGTGCTGAGGCTCCAAACTCAGGTCCTTATGTTTGCCGTTTGCCATTTGTGCACCTTACCCACTGAGCCCTGCGTCTTGTTTTGATTTTTAAGAAAAAGTTATTTTGATGGTTATAAACCTTTCTTAGTTTGAGAAAGGTTTAAACTAAATTTTTTTTTTTTTTGGAGGCAAGGTCTTACCACGTAAATTCCTGATGGGACAGGAAACTGCTATGTAGACCAGGCTAGCCTTGACTTCCAAGTGCTGGGATTAAAGATGTGCACCACCACGTTTGTCTGTAACCACTGATTTTAGTGAGCTTGATATGCTGCCATCTTACTGCTATAGTCTTCCTATCATTTGCTCCTAAAAATGTTTTATTCAGCTACAACCAGTTGCATTCGTCCATGTGCATTTTTTATATGGAAGGGAAGTAAAACATCTTTGAACTACAGCCACTCGGTTCAACAGTGCCATTGATTAAGAGTCCATCTGGGGGGGGGAAAATGAGGCTAGTTGGCTACCGAAAACTCTCTACAGAAGAGGCACTGGAGTGTGGGCAGTTATGGGCTGCTGCAGCCACACTGTGCTGTCTGCCTTGCAGCTTCTCACAGCTCCCCAGCCACCTGCATGACTAGCCTCATCCCTATGCTTACTAAAGCACACCACTCTGGCCTGGCAAGTGGCTTCATTGCTTTTGACATTCACTGAGGCAGCCTTCAGCCATCAAGGTTCTCTACTTGGAGGATCCACGTCGGTTCCCCAGATACCAACTGGGTGTTTTTTTTGTTTGGGGTGGGGGTGAGGGGAAAAGAGTTTGTGGTTTTATTCAGAAATGGATCTCACTATGTAGCTTTAGCAGGCCAAGCAGGGCAGGCTAACTTCATACTTACAGAGCTCCCTCCACCTGTCTCTGCCTCCTAAGTGCTGGGACTAAATGCCTTTGTCACCTCACACAACTACAAAGTGATTTTATCAAGATTCTTATAAAGGTGGGTTTTATTTGTTTTGAGATAGTGTTTCTCTATGTAGCCCTGGCTGTTCTAGAATTTGCTCTGTAGACCAGGCTGGCTTTTGCCTCCCAAATGTTGGGATTAAAGGTATGTGTCTCCACCACCCAGCTTATCTTGTTTTTGTTTGTTTGTTTTATAAAGGTGGTTTTAATTATTCTGTCCTAATCTCATTTTTGCCCTAAATTCAAAGAACTTAATTTACTCAATTTGTGTCTTCCACATAATTAAAAACAATGACAACAAGAGCAACAAGAGACAAAAAACATGTATTAAGAAGATGTCGTAAAACTTGATGCAACAGAACCATGGAGCCATGTTCATCAGTAAGAAACTATTCCAGTCACTACCAGAGCTTCAGTTATGACACTCTAAAGGATCTAATGGCAAAGCTGTACCAAAGGGGCAAGGATATGAAAAGCTCCTCACAGATCACAACAGAGTGGCAGAAACAATAGAAACCACAGTCCAGAAGGTAACTCACTAGATTAAAATTATGTTTTACCCATGAGAAGCTTTGTGAAACCAATACTTTTCTACAGAGTGGTCTACGAAAGTCTCATTCAATTGTGAAACTCCTTTAGGAAATCCTAACAAGCTGGGAGGTGCCAGTGCACGCCTTTAATCCCAGCGCTCTGGAGGTGGTGGCAGGCAGATCTTGGAATTTGAGGACAGCCTGGTCTACCAAGCAAGTTCCAGAATAGCCAGAGCTACACAGTTCTTTCTCAAAGAACTCCTAACAAAGGGCAGTAAGCAGGTGCTACTTTCTGGTAAGATCAATGAACGTGAATGCCCTTACATGCAGAGCACAATTTATTTCACAATTACTTCCCAGTTTTCTTACCTTTGGGGCTAGTTCCTAGCATCTTATTCTTGTTAATGTAGATGGGCCCCTTAGGGGATCTTCTTGCTGGCAGATGTTCCCTCTCCTGATCAGCTGCTCCAGCGGTTACAACGTAAGGACAATTTTCTTTTTGCAAACTATCAATATCTAAATCAAGCCTCCGCTTAACTTTTTCCAAACTGTTATCCAAAAGCTGTTCATTTCCACAGGGCAGTGGCGGTGTGTCCAACTGCTGTCTGGAATTCTGGGTTTGCATGAGTAAGGGAGATGGGTTTTTCACATCGTAAGACTTGTTCAGTTCCATCTGTGGATTGCAGGAGTTTTTTGTTAACATACTGGCTGACTTGAGCACACACACGTCTTCCAAGGTTTGACTTGCTACACACTGACTGGTGGCATGTAGTTCATGCAACCTGGGCATGCCCATACAAGTACTGTCCACTCTCTGGACTCCCCTCTCATCAGGTGTGAAGGGACCTTCCACAGCAGCATGCTCAACAGTGACTTTACTGTCTGACTGAGTTCCTAAAGCCTGATGCACCTGACTTAGCTTACCCACAACCATATCTCTTGCAGTGTCAGACACAATTTTGGTAGCAGAAGTCTTGCTTGAACAAACTCCCATTAAATCAGTCGGTGACTTTGGTACAATTTCAGATTCACTTGTTTCAGCAGCAGCTGGAGTGATTCTATCCACTGCCTCTTCTTTTCCCTTTGGGCTTAGCTCATATGCATTAACTGGGTTGTTTATAAGGATCTGACAAGCTGATGATGGCCTGGACCGCCTTCGATGTACTGTAGGACTCATACTTGGCTCTGGACTAGGTAATTTGGCAAAGGGACCTGTAAGACTTTTGATAACTTTATTTTCAGTAGCAAAGGAGGGACAGACTTTAAAATCTGACTCAGCATCTGGAGGGTCAGTTCCTACAGGTAGGTCTGGTTTAGAAAAGTTAGCGACAACTGACGTGCCCGTGCTGCTTGCTTGAGAAGCACCTTGGAGGAGAACGTTTGACTTATTAAGGCTTGGTTTGTCAGGGATGGCGGAGCCACAGTGCCTGCCTATGGGCATGTTTGGGGCCTTCTCCTTCACACAGTCACTAGCCTTAGCAGCATCGTTTTCTTTGTCTGAATGACTTTCAGTAATACTTCTCTTTGAACTACTTCTCAGGCTCTGGCTACATTGTTCTCTTTCCACGTATTCCTTTGACTTCTTCATTAGATTCTGAAGGCTCATTAGGTAGGGATCTGGAGTGACTTCAGCCAAGCATGACGGATCCTGTCCTTCCTTTGCTAAGATGGGACTATCTGAAATGATTGTTTCCTGTGAGCTTGCTGGAGAGGGCCTTGGAGCAGCTCCGTTTTCTGCCTGCCTGCTGTCTGGACTCTCACATCGCTTCAAAGAGCCAGAGCCTTCTGAGTCTCCAGGCAGGCTCATCCTACTAGGCTTATGTTGGTCCTGAGAACCCACAGGCAGAAGAACAGTTCCCTCTTCAAGCTTGACTAAAGCACAGTGCTCAGTGGGGCTCTGCGGACTGTTTGGAACTGCAGGAGGAACATTCACATCTCTCACTTCTGGATTAGAGTAAATGGTTTCTGTCGCCCACTCATCAAAATCACTGGCAATCGGTGCTTTTCTAACCTGGAAAGGGACGTTTAAAAATTAGTATGTCTCCATCACACAAAAAAAAGCTTTTGTCTGGGGTTTTGATATTGCAGTTGTTTGTTTTGTTTTTAAGATAGGTTCTTTGTGTACACCAGATTATCCTTAAACTCACAAGATCCTCCTGCCTCTGCCTCCTAGGCACTGGAATTAAAGGTATGCCCTACCTCAAAAAAGCCTTAGATTTCACTGTTTTCTGCAATAAAACAGAGAAGATTTAGAGTTCTGATATTTGAGAACACAAAGTAAGTTTCATGTCTGTCATCTCAATAGACTGAGATAGGAGAACTGCTTTAAGTTCAAGACCACCCTGGACTACAGAGTGAAACGATGTCTCGAAAAGACAAAAGGGGCTGCAGAGATGGATCAGCAGTTAAAAACACTGGCTGCTCTTCCAGAGGACCCAGGTTCAATTTCCAGCACCCACATAGCAGCTCACACTTGTTAACTCCAGTTCCAATGGATCCAAATCCCTCACACACACATACATGTAGGCCAAACACCAAATACACATAAAAATAAATTCCTTTTTAAAAAGACAAAAGAAAAATAAAACACACCCAACAATCAGTTTCTATATTATTAATCTCATGAAGATCAAACCACTACAAAAGAAATGCATTGGTTATCCTAGCCTATTTTTTAAAGAAAAAAAAAATTTATTCTGAGATAACTATGAATGAATACACATACATACACACACACACACAATTAATCCCTGTTCAATTTATTCCTGGGATAGAAGCAATGTCTTCCACGTCCTCCGTTATATGTTCTTACTATCGGGAACTACTCCTAAGTCATCACCAACAACAATGATGTGTGCAGTACGTGCCAAGAAAGCAAATGCTTTACATAGTTGCTTATAAGACAAAGGCAACCTGTTTAAGACATCAGTTAAGCAAAAATAATAACACTGCTGCCTCCCATGTGTTCATTCAAGAATCTGCTAAAAACTCCCTACAAGGGGCCAGCGAGATGGCTCATCAGTTAAGACACTCGCTGCTTTTGCAGAGCCTCTTCCGGCCTGCACAGGCACCAGACACACACATGATGTAGAGACAGACAGACATACAAGCAAAACATAAAAATAATAAGACTTGTGAAAAAGTTTTAGCCGACGGTAGCGGGCATACCTTTAATCCCAGAACTTATGAGGCAGAGGCAGGTAGGTGGATTTCTGTAAGTTCAAGGCCAGCTAAGGCTACCTAGTAAGACCCTGCTTCAAAAAAAAAAAAAACAACAACAACAACAACAAAAACTCTGGGATCATTGGCTCCCTGAGACCACCACCCTGCCTCTACTTTGCAGAGGGTCCTTCTCTCTGTGAGCCTTCTGTGACTACCAGGTGCAGGGGGAAAAAATGTTGTGACTTAAAAATAAAATGAGGCATTTCTGGAGTAAATAATAGCTCATCTGTGTAGTGACTGTTAATAGAAATTAGAAAGTCTCAACTTAAGAGCTCAGCTTACAAAGCAGACTTTAATTAGATCAACTGACAGTAAGTGAAGATAGCAAGCTGTATGTTTTCAGACAAGTAGGTCAACAGTTGACACATTAGGATGACATTAACTGTACATATCAGAGTACAGCAAGGAAAAAAAACGTGAGAGCCATTAGAACCTGGAGTGGTTGTTTTGTATGGGCTTTTGTTTTGTTTTGTTTTGCTAGAGTATATGGCACTTGAGTTTCACCTTGTAAGTCCCAAGACACATAATGGTCTCCAGGTACTGTGCAATAAACAACACAAGTATACTTGGTGACAACCTCAGGTTGAAAATAAACCAAGGGAGGTACACATTTCTGGGATCCATGGACACATGTAAGCAAACCAGATTATTCTGCTATATAAAATCTTGCACAGTTCACATCTTTGATACTCAATAGCTGTTTTTAATACACCAGTAAAACAGGCCTTAGGTTAGACAAACTAAATTAAAAAAACTAAATCTCTAACCAAATCATAGGTTTCATAGATGAAAGAGTCCCTCCTAATCTATTTGTATTCCATGAAATCCTTGTCTGTATAAGGAATCCATTACAGTGATATTGTGTATGCTTTTCTAAACAGAAAGTTCTGGGACGCAAGAACAATTTCATTAGTCTATTAGATCTAATAGCAATTGTATCCTCTCCATGGAAAAGATCCAGAACACTCTGCCATTTTTATTGTAATAATAGGAAACAGTCATTAAGTCAATAAACTACTATACACCAAACAATATATAGAGTAGTTACAATCTGCTACCCATACTCCATACGACCCCACGGGGAAACGAAGGCAGGAGTTAGTGGAAATGCCCTACGGTCACTACCCATGGTCATCCAGCAGGAGTCACAGAGGTAAACTACAAATCCTGGAAACTACAAAAAAGCAAAGTCTTATATATGGCAGAAATTACTTGTTCCACTTAAATCATTGTTTTTTTTTTTCTTTTTAATATAAAGTGGACCAAACATTAAATGAGTTAATCTAAATAACTATTGTTATTTAGATAATAACTATTGTTATTTCCAAAAGGTGTAGATATTGTTGTTTAAATTATTTCAGTTTGGGTCTGGAGATATATGTAGGCCAAAATTTTCACACATGTACACACACACACGCGCGCACACAAATTTGAAGGTAGTTATTTACTTTAGCAGAGAAGAAGAAGGTCCTTGACTAAAGAGTCTGATTAGTTCAGGGGTTAACTACAATGGGCAATTCTGTCATCTCTGACACTGAGAATTCAGTTTGTAGTCACAAGACAGACAATAAGCAATTATATCCAGTGTATAGCGCCACTGTCTAAGGACCCTCTCTGATTCAAGTACTAGGTAGCGCTAACAAACAAATGGATTCTCTCCAGCAGATCATTCTCAAACATAACACTAAGGCATATTTAGCAATCAGTCAGCTTTTCTGAAGCTGTTACCAGTGTCTACTTCTGATCTTCATTTGAGTCTAGAAGAGTGTGATGGCACACCTGAACATTTTCAAGAATCTCCTGGACGCGAGTCAGTAAGGCTTTCTTCCTATTGGCCTGCTTTCTTGTTTGTACATCAAGCGCTTTCTGCTTTTCCTGCTGAATTTCCTTTCTCTTCTCAATGGTAAGCTGCAAGACATCACAAACATGCAATTCAATAGTAAAAGAATCAAATCGCCAAGTTTTGATTGGAACACCTTTACAAAGCATCTGAGCAGTGTCTGGGGTTCGAGGAGCTCACGTGAGTGTCACACAGATGTAACCCGTATATTAAGATGCCAGGAGCTCTGACCTGTGCCTTTCACTGAATGTGGCTTATTCCCAACTGAAAATCAGACTCACAGGAAAAGTACCTTGTCACTTTTCAAACACTTTAAGTGACAGACAAGATTGCCCTGGGAGATGCTGCTGAATGCTTCCTCTGACACTTTTCTGATTTCTGACGTCTCACTTCGGATTCTTCGGCTTCTACCTTCTTGTCACTAGACATGTCACCTCTCTACCTCCTTTAGAATCTGTCCGAAGATGTCACCTTAGGGTGAACCTGAGCAGTAGAGTATGGGTGGTCACTGTGTTACCGCCCAACCTTTCTATGCTTACAATATTCATTACAAAATGTTGGCAGAAAACATTGATTGTTTAATACTTAAACAACAAAAATTAGTTTACAACTTACCTAACTTTGATTTAAAATATGGTCACACACTGAAAAAAAAAACATCAAATTGTCTATGATGATAATATATCTACTCTACTATCCTCTATTCTCTTAACCCTGGCCAGAGAAAGAGTTATCATCCTTTTTCAAAACTGCAAATGGTTAACACATAGTGAATGCCACCTATGAGCCAGGAACTAGCCTAAGTATTTATGTGCATTCATTTAATTCCCTAGAAGCATTATGAGGTCAGCACTCACTCTCTGTATTCCCATTTAAGTTAATGACATGGACTACAAGTTCTTCCCAGCAGAAAAGTGGCACCTAATTTCAACCCAGGCCAGAAGGTCCCCCTACCCCTGCTGCCTCTGAAAGCATGCTGTCTGCAGCCATCTAGGACAGCCTTCCATGCTTGCATTTTTAGATCTACCTGTTCACTTTGATAACATGAAATGTATACAATGGACGTGGTTAAACTAGTCCATTATTAATGGTCATTTAGGGTGGCAATTAATATTTTTGCTATTTTTTTCTTTTCTTTTTTCAAGACAGGGTTTCTCCGTATCATAGCGTTGGCTGTCCTGGAACTCACTTTGTAGACCAGGTTGGCCTTGAACTCACAGATATCTGACTCTGAGAGCTGGGTTTGGTGCGCCATCATACCCAGAAAGCTTTGGCTTTTTTAAGTGATGTTATTATAACTTATACATATTTATTTGAACACATTTGTAAAATAGTCTTCGTGAATAGAATTACGGAGTCAAAAGTTATGAACACTTAAATTTTGATAAATACTACCAAACTGCTTGCCAAAAAATTACACGGACTTTTTTTTTTTTTATAAAAGTGTATTAAACATTCATTTTCTCCACAACATAAAAACACACAGTTCAGCTGGGTGTGGTGACACACGCCTTTAATCCTAGCTCTCGGGAGGCAGAGGCAGACAGATTTTTGTGAGTTTGAGGCAAGCCTGGTCTACAAAGTGAGTCCAGGACAGCCAAGGCTACACAGAGAAACCCTGTCTCTAAAAAACAAACAAAAATAAAAACAAAATAAAATAAAAACAATAACAAAAAAAAAAAAAAAAAAAAAAAAAAAACCCACAAAGCCCTATGAGATCACTGACAATCCAGTAGGCAAAAACAGCTAACTCATTTCTATTGTATTTCTCTGATCATGAAAAAACATTAGGCATCTTGTCAGCTGTTTATTTATATGCCTTCTATTTGTTTTTCAGTGAGCTGCATTAGTCGTTCATTAGATTTTAAGTTATTTTAAAACAAATAAGGAAGCTAGAGAGATGACTCTGGTTAAGGGTATGCTGCTCTTCCAGAGGACCAAAGTTCAGTTCACAGCTCCTACAGTGGCCTGGCAGAGGTGCACACCTGTAATCTAGCACTCAGGGAGGCAGAGACAGGCAGATCTCTGTGACAGGCCAGCCTGGTCTACAAAGTGTGTCCAGGACAGCCAACGCTACACAGAGAAACCCTGTCTGGAAAAACAATAACAAAAAAAGCTCCTATGTGGTCTGTCACTCCAGCTCCAGGGGATCTAAAAAAGCCAAAGCTTGCTTCTGGCCCCCTTGGGCACCTGCACTTACGTGTATTCATGCTTAAGAGTGGAAGAAACCTTTAACAAACAAACAGGAATCACTAAACTTACCAGCGGAGAAAGTACAGCCACCCCATGGAAGCGGATGAGGGAGACGCTTTCTGCCTGGGCAGGCAGGAAACTTTCTGTGGACAGTGCTGCTTCCTGAACTCGGGCGAGAGCTTTCTCACAAAACTCTTCATACTCCTCCATCTTTCCACCACGGCACTAGGAGGGGGGGATAAAAACAACTGCTATTAGTTTAGAGTGCTGACAAAAACATCTTACTTATTTACTACCCAAGAGGACTGGACTATTCAAATGCTTCCTGGAATTTTCTGCCTCTGTATATAACTTAAGGCTTCATTTTGATGCCATGGACACCAGCCAACTCAGGCAGAGGTGGAAAACAGAAAATCTACTGGCTCTGGATTTAACTTTATTTTACAGTTGAAAGCCTGAAAGGTCACTAAGCAACTTAAAACAATCAGCCCAGTAGTTTCACAATTTCTAGAAAACCACAGGGTTATAAAAATTCTAGGTAATCAGAAGGGTTAGCCAACATGGACCTTCTTTTTAGCATGTTCTAAGTATTTACTGACTGCTTGTGTTACATAACATTGTGCAGCGCTGGCTTCTATAAGGCAAGGGAAAATAACAACAACAACAAAATTATCATAATCATAACAAGCCAGGAAGCCAGTAAACTGTGGAAAGAGAAGGCCCAATGCAATGATTCCTGTGAATGTTCATTTTAAGGCCATTAGCTACTTAACAAAGACTGAACAGGGAAATTCAATCCACGATATGGGCCGTGCAGACATGAAATAAGAAGGAACATGGTGCCCTGCTGGGCCATTTGAGGACTTAAGTTATACAACATATAAATTCATATTAAAGTATCAGGGAAAAAGCACAATACAGTTAGAAATGAAGAAAAATCACTCATAGTTCTGATTAGATCATGAAAACAAGAGCTACAGCAACCACTGACAACAAATCTCTCTCCACTGTGGTTTGTATTTGTTCCATTTATGCAAAGCAAGAGTAATTTCAAAGCAACAACTGGTTCTCTAGAATGTTGAGATTGTTTTGCATGTTTACTTTCACTTTTTTAAAAGCAAGACTAAGCAACAGAACACTTTATGGCACAATTGTTTTAACAACTCACAGCACAGTTATCTTAACCAAAATTTGCAGTAGATGAGATGTTAAAAAACCTAAAAAGTCTCAATAAATCCATTTCTGCTAAATTACTTTCTTTAAAACACATCCTTTACAAGCACCATTAAAGGGACTACAATGATGTTATATAATTTCTGTGCATTTACACAGAAAGCAGGAAATTCAAAAGCCTGGGAAGGTTAAGGAAATAAACTGTCTTCATTGTTTTACTTTTCTTGCATCAGTACCAGAGAGAGATGTCTCATTGCTGCAGGAAGTTATTCACTTCCCTTGAGTGGTCCATGCATACCACTGTACAGCGGCAAAGGTACAATAACAGTAACTGACAATAAATGAGACAGCCAAGCTCCAGTGCTGACAAAGAAACTGGAGAAAGCATCAAATGCTTTTGAAGCATGACTGGACCTTTCTTACCCATCAGTTCCAGCTTAGATGTCCTCCCCTCAAAGAGGCCTTCTCCAGTCATCCCATCCTCATTCCCCTGTCTCAACATCTATCACATTACCCTGCTTTTTTCCCAGTTTCCATAGCACTTACCACTATCTGAAATGATCTCGCTTATTTCCCTGAGTGCTGTGTGTCTCCTTCCACCAAAATGTAAGCTCCATAAGAACAGGTATCTCCCCAGTCTTGCTCACTGAATCCACATGACACAGAATGGTGTCAGCACACAGAAGGCACTTTATAAAATTATTTAATAAATTAATTAGGACAAACAGATCAAACAATGCAAAGCAAGATTAGCAGAATGAAGAGAATTCTGAGAATGGCAGCTCTGGGAACAACTGTATCCCCAGAGAACCGCACCTCTCAAAAGTAGTCATTAAAGAGAGGGGAGTCCAGATTCCACGATTGTGCAAGAGGACACTACCCTTCCCACACCACAGTTAGCACTTGCAAGCAAGGTTTTACTTTAAGGGAGTCTTGATGACAAGGTGATCCCAACCACAAATCTACTGCCCCATACTTTACCATCAGGCAATACTGGTCCACGGTCCACTTACATACACACCAGCCTCAGCAGGTCTGGGCATGCCTTTTCTACTCCATTTATACCTAAGTACAACTGACCTTTGCCCAATGAGCCTCTTGGCAAACCCTATAGAGTCATGGCTCCTTTGTGCTCCTTCATAACCAGTACTCGGCCAGAAATACCACTGAAGGCAAATGCAAGGTAACACAGCCTCCAACCTGGCTGCTTCTCACTAAATTTCCACAAATACATACACTTCCTATAAAGTCAGTAAAGGGGGAAAGATCTTTCATTTAGGCACACACTAGCTATACAACCCTGCGCCCCAGCTCCCAATCTATAAAGCAGAGATCTGTCTCAAAGCGATTTTATGAGAAGCCAGTGAGCTAAAGCTCAGACAGCAGTCAGCAGTACTGTATGTAGGGCACGCTGAATGCATAAATACTACGTGGGAGCTGCTTTCCTAATGGTGGGAATGATGGTGATATTTTTTTTTAATCTCACCTGCACGTGAACTCCTGGAGAAAAGAGACAATGTTTGGTTCTTGCTAAGATTCAAATGTGACTTAAAAACATGAGAAAGGGGACAGGGCCTCCTCATCCAAATCCACCTCTAGGTTAGGAAGAAGCAAAGGGTGGGAACCACCTAACAGAAGCACCAAGGGTGCTCAAGAGAACTAGCTTCATTATCCTCCTGCTGATGCCCCAGAGCGCCAAAGGTAGAGTAAACAGCGCTCCTAGGGCCTTTGGTTGTGGTAACCAGCGTTCAGAAATGGTCAGTGCACACCCTGGGGGACGCCTCCACCTCTTGCACCAAGCTGAATTCCCATATCCCCTGCCTACTCTTCAGCGCAGGATGCTCCTCTGGGCGGAGCCAGCATCCAAGCATCCCCCCCCCCACCCCACCCCGGTCCTCATCTCCCGCCTTCCCATTCCCGGTGCCTGCGTGGGCTCGTGACCCAAGGAAGCCAAGCTCGGCCGGAACTCCTGTCTTCTCCTCCGCGGGACACCAATGCCACCTCCCCGGGTCTCAGCTCAGCCTGGACCCGGAGGAAGACGAACCCGGTCTCTCGCACGTACCTGATACCCACTGCCTGGTCAACTTCTCTGCCCGTGGACCGACCTCCTCAAGAGGCCTTAGTCGGTTCAGACAGAGCGCATCTGAGTACGCCGCCTTCTCCTCCTCCTCCTCCCCGCCATATTACTGGTCCCTCGGGCGGCAACGCGGGATCCAGGCAACCGCTGCCACCGCCACCAGCTCAGCTCCACCCTTCAAGGCCGTTACTTCCGGTGGCAGTTTGGCGGGCAGTTGAAGCAGTTGGGCCTACATGGACTACAATCCCCAAAGTGCACTGCGCACCAGCAATCGCAGACAGGATCTTTACGCAAGCGAGATGCACACTGGGAAAAGTAGTCTTCACTGCAAACTAAGATCTTAGACTATAAATTACAAACAATAGGACTTCTCAAGGCCTAAAGCCCCAGAAGTGTTCTCGGAACTTGTCAGATATTTTTGGTTGCTTATCTGTATAGAGATAGCCTCTTCCTGTTTGGTTGATGGAAAATGTACAGCATCCACCAAAAAATCTTTTTCTGTAAATGGGAATTGTTGCTGAATCCCAGATGCCAACTCAAAGCTTAGTGTATTTGCGCTCGTTTGCAGATCATTTGGGGAAAATGTCCAGAAGAAAAGGTAATAGGTTCAAGTTGCCAGAAGATAAATCCACAAATATGAATAACTTTTGACTAGCTTTTTTGATTTAATGACACCGTTTCCATTTTGTAACTGTGCTTTACCTTCTGCCCAGCGCTCATTTTCGTATATGTATAGTGGGTTTTAAATCGCCTACCAAGAATGGTTGTGAGACATAAATGAGACATTTTTCTACAGCACCTACTATGAAAATCTCTAAAAGGAGGAAAGAGTGGGTTGAGGAGATTCTCAGTAAAGTGTCTGCCACACAAGCATGAGGATCTGAGTTGAGGAGCCTAAAAAAGGGTGGAAACTGACTGAGAAAGACACCAAACATCCATTTCTGGTCTCCCTATACATAAGAACTCATGCCAAAAAAAAAAAAAAAAAAAAAAAAGGAAGGCAGAGGAACAGTGGAAATGATAGAGGACATGAGGGAATGCCTGTCCCAGTAACACTGGCCCAGTGGAATAAACACAGAGATGCAGAGAGAATTATCCCTCAGGTGAGCTTTTTGTTTTGTTTTGCCACATCGTCTATTGCCACATGGGTTTCTCTGTGTAGCCATGGCTGCCCTGACATTGTAGACCAGGCTAACCTCGAACTCACAGAGATCCCCCTGCCTCTTCAGGCATGCGCCACCACCACCCAGCCAGGTAAAGGCTTTTAATAGAGGCAGTGCCTCAAGAAGAAAGGATGGCGTAAAGGAAGGTACGAAAGACAATGCTGACAGAAACAAGAGCATCCCATAGCAGAGAATGAGACCTGACATGGGTCCAAGGTCCAGTGACTGTCCACTAACCTTGAATTCTTTATGTGTAGACCTGGAACTCCTGTGATCACCCTGTCACTGCCTCTCATGTGCTGGAGTTATGAGCTACCATTCCAAGTGGAGAATGAAATATCTCTTAAAGAAATCTCTTCCTCTTGTGTGTGTTTGTGGTTTTCATTTTGTTTGTTTGGGGAGTGGTTTTGTTTTCATTTTGGGATTTTGTGAGGGGGGGTTGTTTTTCTATTTCTTTGGTTGGTTGGTTGGTTTTTGGTTTTCAAGATGGGCTTTTTTTTTTTTTTTTTTTTAAGCCCTGGCTGTCCTGGAACGTGCTCTGTAGACCAGGCTGGCCTTAAACTCAGAGATCCATCTGCTCTGTCCCCTAGTAATGGGATTAAAGGTGTGTGCCACCATGCCCAGCTCTCTTCTTAAGAAGTTTTTTCCTTATTAAAATATAGATCAGGGGGCTGAAGAGATAGCTCAGCAGATAAGAGCACTTTACTCTTCCAGAGTTTTTAAATTCAATTCCTGTCTACCACATGGTGGCTCACAACCATCTATACTGGAAATTTGATGCCCTCTTGTGGCATGCAGGCATACATGCTGATAGAGTACTCATAAATAAAATAGATAGATAGATAGATAGATAGATAGATAGATAGATAGATAGATAGGATGATAGATAGATCCATCAGGTCTGGAAGATGACCCCATCAAGTGCCTCCCCGCCCCACTCCCCACAACCACAACCACAAGGATAAGTTTGATCACCAGAATCCACGTTCGCTTCACTGACACACACTTGTAATCTCAGTGCTAAGGAGATGGAGACGGGTGAATTTCTGGGGCTTATTGGCCAGCCAGGCTAGCCTGCTTGGAGAAGCTCCAGCCTATTCACAAAAGGTGGATGGATGGTGCCTGAGGACCACACCCTGTGCTGTCCTGTGACTTACACACTTCTACATGCTGGTACACGTACACACACACACACACAGAGACCTGAATATACCATTCCTGGATGATGATCACTCAGATCTGGCTCCAGAAAGGGGTCAGAGCTATGGGGGAGGGGAGTTGTTTGTTTGTTTGTTTTTCACCATAGTTGCAAGTGGCTGAAGTGGCTTCATATCACCATTGCTCCTTTACTACTCTTTAGTTTCATCATCAATAAAATGAGGTGTTCTACCAGGATCACAAGACCCTCAGAGACCACCAGGAGACGACTTGATGCAAGAGAGCTTTATTACAAGAGCAGTTGAACTCGGGACCCTAGTCTCACTGATGCAGCAGTAGAGAAGCGGGACCCTGAGCCCTGAGTGAGCAGGGTTTTTAAAGGGAAAGACTGCAAGCAGGGGGACACATGCCTTGGCATTACAGGATTGGGTAAAAGTCAGAGGGGTGAGGTGATCTCCTCTGAGGCACTTAATCACAATTGCCTAAGGCATATAATCACAATTCCTATTCTTCTAAACTATATCTGGAACATTGGGGAGAATTTTCTCAGCTGATTCCCAACCGATTCTCATTGATTGATGCCAGGGGAGATTGTCTCTATTTCTTACTAAGTATTTCTTCTGTGATATTTCCTGGAGGCTGTTGCTAGGAGAGTTAACTTTGTTTTCTGCCAAGTGTACATTCTGTGATATTTCCTGGTACCTGAGTTCAGCTCCCAGTCAAGATGGCTCCTCATTTCAAAATGGAGTCACCCAGGCTAACTTAAACTCTTCAAGGGATCATCCAAATTCCTTCCAGGTTTACAGTCAGGTTGTGCCTGGAAAAGCCTTCTAAAGTCAATAGAAATCACTCTTCTGATATAGTCTTTATCTTGAGGCCACTGAAAGAGCAAAATGTATATTTGGTGCTTGTCAGGAGACTTGCCTGGCACATACCGAAATGTTAGGCATTAGCAGAACTGCCACTATTGAGAGTGGCAGTGGGGTATGGGCCATGCTGCCACTTGATTCTTTTCAGAGACCTCCAGTCAGGTGAAGATAAGGTTCTTGACTTCACCACAGAAAAGATTTTTAGGATGAGCCATTATGAAACAGAGTTGGAGTTTATTAGGAAGAGTTTGTTGTGTCTTAGCTACAGCTGTGTATGTTTTAGTGGATCTCCTTACCACTTAGGTAGTTCTTAAGAAAACTTTTCCTTCCTCTTTTTTTTTTTTTTTCGAGACAGGGTTTCTCTGTGTAGCCTTGGCTGTCCTGGACCCACTTTGTAGGTAGACCAGGCTGGCCTTGAACTCACAAGAGATTGCCTGCCTCTGCCTCCCTGAGTGCTGGGATCAAAGGCATATGCCACCACGTACGGCTAAATGAGATTTTTGGGTTTTTTTGGCTAAATGAGATTTTTGTTTTATTTTTATGTGTGTGATTTGTCTGCATGTATGTCTATGCACCACATATGTACAGTGCCCACAGTGGCCAGAAGACGGTGTCAGAGCTTCTAGAGCCTTAGACAGTTAATAAGCTACCAAGTAGATCCTGGGGTGTGAACTCAGTTTCTTTGAAGTACTCCCAATCATTGAGCCAGCTCTCCAGCCCAATACATGAGATTTAAGGTGGCTCTGGGGGCCCGCTGGCAAGAACTACAATCCTTAAGATAAAACCATGGGTCACAAAGGTCACACAAACAGGTTAGTGCATTTTTACTGTCAGTGAGAGTCCTAGCGAATTGCAGGTTTGCATCTGGAAAAGAAGAAAGGGCATGTGTTATCAGACCTTTAGCAAGATTTGTTGCTATGTGAACATTCTAACTTGAAGCACCTCTATGTAAAAGGAATTTGGCCTACATGTGCAGGAATTCTTGACTCCCAGTCAAGAGACTTTAGCCACACTTCTGGTAGAGGTTCTTCTTTCCCAAGTCCCCTTGATTTTTCTTGTCTTGTTATCGTGCTTAGAATACTTTCCCCAGAGGAAGGTACTCCCATTAAGAGCAGACATCTTGTGTGTCCCAGTGGTACAGCCCTTGCAGGAATAAAGATATTCCAAAAGACACCTGAAAGTTTCCCTTCTTGATATCATTTTGAGGCATGGACTCCAGGAAATTGGAATTTCCCCAGGAGTCTCATGTTGGGGGGAAGGAAAAGGCTTAGAGCCTGTGGCCATCCTGCAAAGGAACTTGTCTTTTTTGTAAGTTCACACGATTCTGCTTGTCTGTAACCTCTCAGGACAGACTGGAACTCAGTGGGTCAGTGGTGGGCCGTCTTCTTAGCTAGGCACGCCTCTTGGGTGGGTGTCACTGGACCTCTTCCCAATGTGGCCATTTCTCTGCTTTTTACTATTTGATTGGTTCACTGAGCATAGCTTATAACAGCTCCAGGATAACTTAGCTTACTATAGGCCCTGGTTGTGACCCGGAAGAACTCTAGAAACACTCCTGGGTATAGGAAGAAATAGATTATAGAAACTCTAGAAACATCTTGGATAAACAGGGTTAAGCATCCTGTTCCTTCAAAGTCACCCAGCCTTTAGTTTCCTCGAGGTCAGATACAGGTCACTAAGAAACCCTGGCAGTGTCTCCCTCCTCCTGAGCCCGAAGGCCAAGGCTGAAGTCCTGTCCTCAACCAAATGCACCCTTGGAACCCAGGCCTGGGCTTGCCCCTGTTGCCTTGGCAGCGGCTCCGCCTCCCCACCTTAACGCTAGAGTTCCTGGACTCTGATTGGCTGGGGGGCGGGCTCTTCCTCGAGATGGGTCCGCCGCCGCCATAGTGCAGGGCTGCTCCCAGCGGAGGGTTC